CCTTTTCTCTCTGGTTCTCAAACTCCTTTTTATCCTTGACTCATCTCTTAAATGAAACTGCTCTCTGGAAAGTTACCAGTGCTCTCTAAATTACCAATCTGATTGTCTTTTCTCAGTTTTCATCCTATTTGATATCTGTGCAGCATTCGACACTATCCACAACCCATCTCCTTCTGAATATTTATTTTCGGGTTGCTAAAAACAACACAAGTGTATCATCTACAAAAGATCTCAGATCTTCATACTTTAAAATCTCCAAAACAGAATTTTCTAACCTATTTTAAAATCTTCCAAAATTAGAAACCATTTATGAAAAATATAAAAATACACCTTCCTATTAGTCTACAAGTTTACTTGATTGATCTCAGGGTGGATAGAAACTTGTTAACCAAATTTCAACAAAAATCTTCAAATGACTGATGGATGGGAATTTAAAATGATTATCTTGACTTAGTAAGTGCAACTTATGTGCATTTCTTCCATTTGAAGCTATGCAGCTTTAATATACAGTATCTTTTCCACCTATCACAACAATTCAATCAAATGTTGAAAAAATTAAATAGAACCAGATCTTCTAATTGCTGTACCACAAAGCATTCAACTAAGGTTTTTAAAAATAATAAAACATGTACAATCGCATTGCTTTAATAAAAATACATTATTTTCAAAATGTTATTTGTATTTATCTTATCTTTTCAAATTGTTCAAGTTTTACTTTATACATGATTATTAGAACAATAGTATATGTATGTGGACAGCCAGATGGTGTCGTGGATAGAGCATTAGGCCTGGAGTTAGGAAGATCTGAGTTCAAATCCAGCATCAAATACTTACTAGCTATATGACCCTGGGCAAGTCACTTAACACTTATTTGCCTCAGTTCCTCATCTGTAAAATGGGAACACTTGGAGAAGGAAATGGTAAATCACTCCAGTATCTTTGCCAAGAAAACCCCATGGACTTCATCATGTAGTTGGACATGACTGAACAAAATACACGTAGTTTATAAATGAGTCAATATACAAATATTGGGGTACATGCTCCAACTATTTTTTACTGATAAGGGTCTGTGACCAAAAAAATTTAGAGACCACTGTTAGGGTTTTCTTCATTAATCACTCCTCTGCTCAAAAATCTCAGTCAACTTGACATTTATTCCGGCATTCAACCCTATCTTAATATAGCAATATTCTGCCTTGCTAGCCTTACCTCATACTCCTGCCCCCTATGAACCTATTCTCTAGTACGACCTGATTATCTGCTGCACCCCCTCAATCCCTGCTCTTCCCCACTTTTGTTCATGCTATTCCTTATGTCTAGAATGTTTTCCCTCCACACTTTCCCACCTATTGAATTCCTACCATTCCTTTATAGCCCAACTCAAATACCTTTACCTCCAGGAAGCCTCACCTGATAATACCTATTTGTAAATGCATATCTGTAATTATCTTCCCCCTCTGAAGTCACATAGAAATTTGTGCCTCCTCAATACATTTGCTATTTTAAATTAAAGTTGTTTGTATCATGTCATTTGTCACATTAACCTGGGATACATGATGTGAAAGCTCTTTGTATACTGATCAACTGAGTCTATGCAAGTCACAGGCATTATAATAATCATAGTTGACATTTAAGAGCAATAAAAACTCTCTACTGCTTTCATTAAATAAAAACTTAAAGGTGATTTCATTTTATTTTTTACAACAATCCTTAAGAAGCTACACAATACAGTAGGAAGTACACTGGACAGTCAGATAACAAACCTGGGTTATAATTCTGGTTCCTCTGCTTATTAAACCTGTGACCTTAGATAAATCATTTCACCTCTCTTGGCTGCAAAGGATATCAAGTCCAATCCTGTTATTTTATAGATAAGAAAACTAAGGTCCCTTATATCTCTTTTCTCTGTACTTTGATTTGTCCATTTCCGAAATAAGCATATCTGCCCTGATATCTAGAATTATAAAATCAGAGGATTTAAGTGCCTCCTTCCACCTAGAATTCTTTCTACTTGACCACACTAATGTCTACAATGACCCCAGTATATTTAATTAATAAATTAGTATTTGAGAATCATTATCCATGTCAATATTAATTCATAGTGGAAAAAATCCAGAAGTTCAGAGACCTGGGATCTTTCTACTCAGTCCTGCTTCTGTTATTAACTTGGGAAAATGACTTCCTCTCCCATGGTAGCATGAAAAATACACTGGATTTGGAGTCAGGAGATGTGGTTTCAAATCCTCAATCTGTTACTGTGTTACCTTATACAAGTCACTTGATTTCACTAGGTCTGTTTGCTCTCCCTCTCTAAAACTGAGTTGGATGTTAATTGAAAAGTTCCCTAAGGACCTTTCCAACTCTAAAATACTATTGTGTACTACTCTGGGCCTCACAATCCTACTTTAAGAGAAGGGTCTTCAATCAAAGAAAAGTCTTTTCCAGTTCTAACAAGTCTAATACAAAATTTTCCCCCCATTAGCTAAAAAGCATTAGGACTAGGGCTGGTCATATGGTATAGGGGAGGAAGTCTGGGAGTCAGAAAACCTGGGATTGAGGTCTGGCTCTATAACTAAGATACTTACTTAAAGTCTTTCATGTCCCTGTGCCACTGTTTTCTCTGCTGTAACATGAAGTCAGATGAAATAATCTCTAAGGTCTCTTTCAGCTCTAAATATATGCTCCTTGTGATATAAAATTATTTTATCCTCTAGGACTCACATGGGGCTCCTGCTGTGATCTGGAAGCGAATTTTTTATTTCCCAAGTCCATTTGGTCTGATTCCCTGAGCTAATTCAGAGGGAAGCCTCCTTTGCCACTAAACAAGGGATGCCCAAGCACCTTAGCAACCCTGCCCATGTCACTGCATAGCAATGAAGGGAGGGGACTGTGAGGAACTCAGAGGGCTCATCTATATACCAGGCAAAACATGCCTCAGGCACATGCCTGAGAACCATGCAAGAGACATGAGTCCTGATGCATTTTTATAAAAGGGCAGGCATGCAAAATTAACTATAAACCAAAACTGGCTGAGACACTTCAGGAGAAAAAGACTGAACCTGTTGCGTATATGTATGTGTTTTCATTATTACCTTTTGAAAATACAAAGCCCAATAGATAGTGTCAGTCACAAGACTTTTCTAAAGAGCTCTATATAAAATACAGTTTCAAGGAAAAACCCTGCCAAATGGGTCTCCACCCCCACAGACTGCAAGAGGATGCTGGGTCCAACGAGGGCCTCTCATAGTGAAAGTTGATGCCACTGTATTAAGGGTCTTGGCACAGCTGCAAATCCAGAACATGTCTTCCTGGTAGTGGAATGTGTTGTCCCAAAGGGAAAGGAAAGAAGTATGATACAGGGTGTTCTCTCCATCTTGGTGCAAGGTTACAGGAAATTTGTAAAATCATTCCCATTGTCCATGCTCCCATCACCCACTCACCAAAAAATACTTTCTAAAAACTTTGATGGTCTGTAAACTAAGCTGTTTCCTATCCAGTGGTAGACACATTTCCCTTTTTCTGGCATGCACACTGTTTACCAACGGTTTTTTCTCTTGCCATCCCCACCCTCTCCCACCAGTCACTTGTTCAGGGCTGGCTTTCCTAGGATCTCAAGGGGATTCTCTTAGTGTGAGTCAGAAGACCCTTGGCTTGCAAAGGGTTTTTAAGACAATGGAGGAAAAACTTATTTTCTTTGTTAACTCTTCAGGGCTAGAGTCCTGGCTCTTAGGAGCTACAGGACCCCTAAGAAAATATCCGAGATCTGTGAATTTTACAGTTGAAAGGCACCTTAAGAAATGCCTTCTTATTCCCGTACTCTTGTTTTACAGATGAGGAAGCTGAGATCCAGAGAGGGGAAGGAACTGGTCCAAGGTTTCCTGGTAGGTAATGGCAGAACCAGGAGTAGAACTCAGGTCTCCCAATTTCCAATCCAACAGTCTCTCCATTACAGGTATCTCCTCTTAGAGAGCCTCCAAGCCCTTCTTAGAGCACCAACACGTGGAACACCACTAACAAAACATGCACATTACTTGCAGGCATCCACGGTCTCCAATTTAAAATACCAGGACATAGGGCAGACGAGAGACGCGGTAGTTTGAGCGGGAAGTAAGAGGTGGCATCAATTCGGATCCCAATTGCTGAGCCACAGAAATAAGAGGATTTGTGGAAGGAGTGTGTGGTGGGGAAGTGGCAGGGAGTCAATAGACACACGGAGCGCTCACGGAACTGTTAAGTATGTTTTCGCTTTAGAGAGAGCAGCTTGAGTTAGCAGATTGAAGCTTTAAAATCAATCTGTGAACCTCGCCTTGGTGGCTCTACTCCCATTTCCACCCTGTTGCTGCTTTGCATTACAGTTAAATATTTCTTGACTCACAGAGAAACACAGAGCAACTCCCTACTCACATAGAGCTGGGGGCGGTGGGAGGCCGGGAGGGGGGAGAGGAGGCTCATTTCAATTTAAACCATAAATAAGCGCCAGCCGCTACACAGCCCACAGCTGTCACGTCATGGGCACAACCGTCACTGCCTCTCGGGCTGATATTTCACTTCTGTTTTTGCTTCCTCTCAAACACACATACACACAAAGCCAAGGCCGTACACACACCACCACAAAAACGAAAAGCTAAGCTCACGCAGATAAAAACTCAAATTGATAAGGGAAGGGCAAAGGGGTAGAGATGAAAACTCCATCTTCCTGGGACCGGTGTTTCTCTTACTGGGAGAAAGGCTAAGCCAAAGGGCGGGGAGGCCCCTGGCCAATCGCGCGCTCTCTCTCTCTCTCTCCTTCTTCCACCCACCCCCGGGTACCCTTGACCCAAATCAGGAGACCCAGCTCCTGGGACTGACTTATCTTTGAACTTCCAGATTGCTCCAAAAGCACCATTACCTCCCCATGCACCTTGCCCATCCCAGAGAGGCAAGTCCTTCCTTCACCCTCCGCCTCAGTCTCCCCTACCAACACCCCCGAGGATCCCCAGCCCAGAGGGCACTCACGCTACCTGGGGCCAGCAGGGAGGGAGCGCGGGGCACCGCTGACAGCTGTAAGAAACCTCCCGGGAGGACTGCCAGCTCAGGGAAAGAGGGTGGAGCTAGGACACCCCGCCTTCCCGATTCCAGCCCTCCTCCAACTCCGCCTCCCCATATTTTTTTTTTAAAAGAAGGGGGAGATGCAAGCTTAGTTTTGGGAGAGAGCTTACCAGTTTGTTAGATCTTTTCTTTCAGACCATCCTCTTCTGCTCCCATGGCAAGAGACCAGGCCCTAGGCTGGTTGTGTAACCACTCTTCAAGGACGCGCTGCTCCACTTTGCTTAGAGAGTGCTCACTCAGGCAGCCACACTACACATCTACAAAAACACATACCTCTTCACGTTATTTACCACCAGCTCCTTCTTTCCCCTGTTCCTGATTTGGGGGAGGGGTTGGGAATAAAGGGGGGAGGAGGAAGAGGAGTTTCCAAAGGAGGAGGCAACTTCAAAAGGGGTAAATTCGCTTTAGAACTGCTTGTGTCACAATGTCAGGGATGCATTGCAGTGAGAAGGCCGTGGGAGATACTCTTGTCTCAAGTTCACGTTGTATCTGCCCCAGTCTTGAAGCTGCTCTTCAAGTGATGCCTGTAAGTTGGTCCCTTCCTGTCTCCTGTTACTACTAGTCAGTAGAGAAGGATGTCGGGATAGATATAGATTTACTCAACCCAGTCCATGGTGACTAGGAAGGTGGGGTAACTCTGCCTTTCCAGATAATTCTATAGAACTAGGGAACTGTTGCCTGTGAGGGGCTTCTCCTGTCTTCATTGACCTGACATCAGACTGGAAGAGGGACACTGAAGCCAAGAGCAGCAGAAATTTTTTTTAAATGCATGGAGCCCACCTGGAACTACTGACATCTGACCCCCCTCCTCTGCATATCCTAACCTCATTACCTATGCTTCTGAGATCAAGGTGAAGGCCCCTAAAAACAAGGCTTTGTTTGAGGCTCTTCTTGACCAGGAAGTCAGCTGGGAAGCCCACATTACAAGGACTAGAGCATTGGAGGCCAGTTCCTCCCTTCTGCTCTTACTCCAAGTATTCCTGGAATCCATTCAAACTTTCATTAAGTCTCAAATTCAAACATAAAAATATGGACATACATATTCTGATTAGAAGCCTGTGGCTTTGCCAGCACAGTCGGTCAATAAGGATTTACCAAGTGTTTACTATGTGTCAGGCATTGTGCTAAGTGCTTAAAAAAAATAAAAAAGAAAAGCTAAAACACAGTCCCTTGCCCTGCTTAGATTTCAATAAAGAAAACATTTGTTTAAAAAAACTGTTCCGTAACGGATTGGACTAGCTGGCTGCTGAGGTCCCTTAAAACTCTCAAATGCTATGATTTTGTGAAAGATGAGGTAAGATATACTAGCTGCCCGAAGAGTGTGTGTGTGTGTGTGTGTGTGT